TGGATAGCTGGCCAATCACAGCACACCTCGCTTTTCAGACCGATGAGCTTTGTAAAAATCGACGCGTTTCAGAAAGGCGGGGCATAGAGGAGAAACAATAATGTACAGTATGTGGAAAATAATGTTTTTTTAACCTTAAACCGCATAAACACATTTCATTACACCAAATACACAAAATAATGTTATTTTTAGCAACATCATATGACCCCATTAAATTCTGTAAATGACAGATAATTTCCAGTTTCCAATTTTCCAGTTAACACAACCTCTGCACAGGTCAACTAGTTATCCAAAAGCACAATTAGTCAAGTTTACTAGTTTATCTAGATTTTTTTTTTTTTGATAATTTGAGTAAAAAAAAAAAAACCCTGTTGGAAAAGTTGGTAAAAATCAAAACGTACTTAAATTCCAAGCACAGCCGCTACAGAGATACACATCTTTGGCTATTGTGTCACAAGTGTGGTTGGCCCCTTAGGTGTTATTAAAAAGCTAGGCTAGTGGTACATGCACCAGTTAATTTGCAGATGTTCCAGTGTACTTTCACAGCTTGATCAAAACAAACAGGAGAAAACCGCACACTCTTTCACTTCTTCTTTTCTGTGAAACCCCCCTGGTGGGTAGACTCTTTCAGGCTTTACTGTATGTATAATTCATACAAAAACGACATGGGGGCAATGTGTTTGTCTGGCCAAAAACCCAATTTCACTTCACACAAATCCACAGCATAGTCCATTTAGTCCATTTGAAAGCCTCCCCCCTTCCTGAGAACGCATATTATAGTAGGGATAAACATAATTCCCTGGTAACTGCAAAGGTTTGGGCCACATAAAGAATGTGAAGTAATACGCCCCCATCTAGGCCATTCTCCGGCTCCTGTTTATTTAACCTCTTGCTCTTTTTTTCTGCTGGAAGTAATGTGATTGATGCTGTAACTGTGTGAAAAGGAGGTGGCATTTGCACAAATCTGGCCTTTGTTCTTTGATGCTCACACCAGTATTTGGAGATTATGAAATGGACCATATTTCAGCAGAGGCACATGAATCTCAAGAGTGGCTGAATATTGATGCTCCTGCAATTCAAGACACTTGGAGCAGAATCATTAATTTAGAAATGATGGTCATGAATACTTAAGGTATAGGTACAATGCTAGACAGAGACTTTTATTCAATACAGGGCCAAAGTTTTTAAGTGGGCGGATGCCATACATCATTTTACAGCAGCATAGCCAAATGTATGGTGGAAACCCCTATTTCCAAAATATATTTTTAATTACAGATTTTTTTTTTTTCATTGATGTCAGTCAATATTATCCAATACTGCATATTTATTGTGCAGGTAAATAAAAACCATATAGATACATTAAAAAAAAATATATATATTTTTTTTTAAATGACAAAAACACAACAAAAACGCTAAAACTTTAAAATTAAGATAAAAAGGGAAATATAAACATAAAATATCTAAATATGACTGAAAACTATAATAAACAATAACAGATACTGTACTGATTAACTGTACAATTTAAGCAATTTTCTTATGTAAATGTATTGCTATTGTTATAATAATAATTATTATTATACTTGATTTTATTTTTTTTTATTTACTTATTATTTTAAATGATTATATATGTTAAAGAGGGAAAGTTGTAATCATTCTGTATTTTGTGTTGTTCCTTTGAAAAGAAGACTGGTAAATGTAATATTTAGCAAATCTCAAAATGATTATCTATTTTTCCATACAGTTCATTATAATATCTGTATGGTACCCCTATCCAAATGACAAAGGAAGATCTTGAATGATAAATTTTAAAGGTGACAATTCAGCACAGTCCATCCAAATGTGCTAAAAAAAACACTTATGATGATATACATTGAAACTACTTTATTAAAACCTGATAAACTGAAAAGAGTGTGATTCATTATTTTTGTAAAAACATCAATCAGGCCCTTTCTTGACCTCAGCACTGATTAAAAACTCACAAAGCAGCCTTCTAGAAATGCAGTTCAACACTAGACACAGTTATTTTATGCAAACACTACTGTAAACACTTCTTCAGTATCGGAACACGCTCCCCTCTGGGGTTGTCACAGGCTGCCATCTTGCTGAGTGCTCTTCTTCCATCATGGCACAGCTAGTGAATGGTGATTATGTTTCTTTCCAAGACCATCCACACACTGGGGAGCTTGTAGATCCAAGGGAAGAGGGTTTACCTGGTCTCAGGCCCAGTGAGGGAGTTCTGATCTGGGCATGTGCAGAGCCAGCCAGCCCCTGTTCTTCACATGGGAGTCAAGGCCAAGATAAATCTTCCTCTGCCTGGAACCACAATACTCCCACTCTGCGAGGGCCGCTGGAAACCACCGTACAATCAACGAACACAGGTGTGCGATAATTAGGGCCTGTCGACTCCAATGTCGAAACGGACTCTTGTACCCTTGCGTCAGTTAGAGGAAACCCTTGCAGAGTAAATGGGGACTGCTAACCCTGAGAGTCTTTCCAGGGGATGCAAGGTTGGTAAAGTGATTTGTGTCACAAGTGTGACATATTTGCCAATGATTAAGCTTGGAGGAGAGTAAGGATGCATCGATAATAATATTCTAGCAAATACCAATAAGCCCATAATTATTTTCATGCACATTGAAATAGACTATATTTGTAGTATTTGCCTATAACTAATTTGGTACCGATATATTGTGCATTATTACAGGAGAAGACTCCAGTGCAAAACTTACGTTCACAAAGCAAATGGCAGTATTCTAAAAAGTATTCTGAGTTCTGTCATTTGTCACATTCATTAACGTCAGGTATGCAAGACACTGGCACTGCCTTTTCTACTTCTGCCAGCCATACTTGTTTCTCTCGTAATACTCAAATAACCTATTGCTAGTCTGTACATGCCCAAAAAATCGAAATCAGAAAATTTTAAGACTGTCTTATGAAGCAGTCTTGACATTTAGTTACAGAAAGTAGGCTATGTCACATCTGACAATGAAATTAGAGGAAGTCAGAAGACAGAAGAACACAAAATGGTACAGTTTCCTCGAAGGAAACATACCTGTTAGTCACCAGGGCCTGACAAACAGAGAGGAAAATATAATAGCATGCAGGACAATCATCCTCACTAGACCTGTTCATCTACCACAGCACTGTGACTCAAACTGCATGGAGTCAAAAGGCCTTTATCTGAGTTTCATACCAGAACAAAACTGGCCTGCATGAGATGGCTGCCCTTCTATAGTAATGCACAGCAATAGTATGTCCATAGACATTTAAAACTCAGAGAACAGGTTTTAAAAACAAAGACAGGATTACGCCAGAGGATTACTTCAAATGAACCTGCATCACTAATTGTTACAGAAGTTAAAAATAGCCCAGGTCATTTCAAAACCTTTTAATTATGTTATAATTTGAGTACTATTAACTGACTTGGCTTCAAAATGCTGACAAGCATAAAACACTGGGGTCTGTAGGCTGATATGTCAGAGCGAGATAGAGTGAGGTCTGCTCTTAAATAATCAAAAATTCTAGTTTAAAAAATGAGAAAGAGAGATAGAGAGAGAGAGAAGAAAGGCCTGTGATTTCAAAAGAATCATAAGGATTGCATAAATACAATTTAAACAAAAATTCTTAACTGTAATACCAGAAGAGAAGACATTTAATGTCAGTTTCCTCTTTTAAGTTGCACTTCTGCTTATTTGAAAGAATGCTACATTTGTATAATTCTACAAGACTTTTGACAGATCATTAAAAGATCAGCCATCAAAAAAGAATGAAGTATTTAACTCACTTACTCAGTTTTTCGCCGTTCCTTGTTGTCAAATATTTCATTTAAGTTGATGATTTTCTGGCCCAGAAATTTATCCAATCCAACCAGGGACCTGTGCATGACTGTGAGGCACAGCTCATAAACCTCTGGATTGCTCTCCATCAGCAGCCCTGGCAGTTCAAATGAAGCCTCTTCTTTCCACACTGGGCTGAGGGTCTTCTCGGCCACCGATGTGGAGTACTTCTCTTTGCCCAGCTGAATAATGGTGTAGGCATCGTTGGTGCCATTCTTGCCCTTTGGTTGCAGGTCTGTGGCTTGAAGAACAGTGGCTTGGACGTGAGTTGGAAACCACTTCTGTGACTGTTCGCCCAATGACATGATGACTTCCAAGTGTAAAAATATGGATTTTGGTGTGTGAAATTATACGTTTATTACTTCAATTTGGCCTTGGCATTTTGTTTAGCTTCTAATCACAGGAAATGAGCGACCAAGAGTAGATCAAAATTTAAAGTTATGTTTAAAAGCATGGGAAGAGCATATCTGTCATTTCAAAAACTGCGTCTATTAACAGAGCAGGTAATGATGTTGTTACACTCCGCAAACAGTCCACACATTCACCCCGCTCCAACTCAGGTCACCTAAACCAAAGAAAAAAAAAAACAGTCTTAGAAAAATAATATTAAAACTTAAATTCATATTACAAATGACTCAGAAATTACAATTGTAAATTAAATTAGTGACTTTAAAAATTATCAAATTCGAAAAGGTAAATTCTTAAAAAAAAAAAAAAAAAAAGGGGCTTTTTTGGGCAAGGGATTTTTTCTTTGACTAGTTTTATTGTGGAGACCAGATATAGATCTTTTTTTTTTTTTTTTGGGGCTATATGTATCTCAAACTTATGTTATTCACATATATCTATTGAAATTTAAAGTAGTTTAACAACTATGTTAAATGATGAAAATTCATGTCAAATACATATATTGCGGTTGCTACAACCTACACTACTGGGATGGGCTGTAATTTTCATGTTCAAAATGTTTTTCATGGACTGAAAAAAAAAAGTTCATGAATTTATTATGGAAATCAAACTGTCCAAATTATTAACTACGTTCCATCGCCCTAATTTCATTTTAAAATGTTTAATTCAAAATGGCAAACACATAGGAAACGTTGTCATTCAAAAAAGAAAAGAAAATGAACTATGTAGCTTATACACCGTGGCACTATTATTATTTTTTAATGTAGATGAAAAGGTGCGAGGTTTATACTGTATATCAAATTAAATAAGATAACCTGGGTGATTCAAATAAATACCAGCTCTGTCATTTAACAGTAAATTTATAATCGAGACCAGAAAGTTTTTATTATATATTTATTATTAGTAGTATTATTCATTTAATTTATTGATTTATTTTGTTCTGTTAATCCTTCATATTTCAAAACACTGAGACTTACAACTTTTACTGTCACCTCAGGAGGGTGATCATGTGTTAAACTCACCCAGTACTTAAAAAAACTCTCTTATTTAATTCAATTAGAAACACCACTGCTAGTTTTACTACCCCAGTTACTGCTGCTGTCAAACAGTCATACAGCACAAGGCTCTGATATTTACCTCTGAAGCATCTTTCTCGAACACAGCTAGCGACGCCACGGCATGTGGGATGACCGCTTATGCCAATCGGTATCAATTCTCTGCATCTGTGGTGGATGAAAATGAATAAATTGCAGTAGACGACACTAATGCATCTTAAACAAATGTGTGGAATTCCACATCAGCCGTGCACTCGACTTCCTAGTTCCTCATTTCCGCCGATGTGGTCACGGGTCGAAGTGCAAACTCCTCCTCTGTTGCCGTGGAAACTCAGGATTTGATCAGTGCGCGCCTGGCACTGTTCCTGGGATTCGAATGACTGCGAGGCTTATGAGAGCTTGAGTACTTCGTTTCCGTTTTGTTGTTAGTTTTGTCGAGGAAAAGAAACAGGAAAGGAATAAACAGCTTGTTTGTAATGCTATTTAGAATAATTAAGAATGGGTCAAATGAACCGCCATAACAATTAGTAGCCTATGTATCATTGCAACATCATACCAATTAATGTATCAAGTATCCATTTTTAGATAACTTGGATATTTTTTAATATAAATGACCTTTAGATAAAATCATGTAAAATTATAGTACCTAATCAGTAATATTAGTTTTTATTTTTATAAGCAGGTCAGTCATCAGTACTAGCAATGGGAAAAAGAATGAAAAATGGCTATATAGTAACAGAATGGAAAATATATATAATTATATATAATTAATGCATCAGAAGGTTAATTATATTTCAGAATAGTAACCGAATGGAAACATAGAATCCAATTTAACAAGAGCTGCATAAATTGTGGAAAACAACTCAAATGTAGAGGGGAGATCATCAAAATGACTTTTCTGAAATACTGAATGGAGTCCCATTCAGGCTAGCTGGGATTCTTATAATGTCCACTCAATAAAGTCAATAAATGTCTATTGGAGGCTCTTGACAAAACTAAACCAACCAAACATGTTAACATACTGTCTGTCAATGTTTCTTGAGTGGGGACGTTGAGGTACTGATAAGAGATTCATTTAAATGAGTACAGATGTGTGTGTCATCTCAGTTGACAGGTACATCTTAACCAAACACACCTGCATTTTCATTTTATTCTCTTTCTCTCTCCTTATCCCCATCAGCCTGCCATAACCTCAGAGTACTGTGTACATACCAGAGTCAGAGGCATGAGTCTGGCACATTCGTCACACATAGATTATAACTCTTATCTGGAGTGTATCTCAGGATGAAAATGGGCCTGGTGTGGTGAAATATTAGGTCATATAAAATGCATTTAAGACAGCTTAAACTGAGGAGGGGCCCTTCTATGTGCCATTTCAAGTTAAGCCTCATTGCAAACACCAGGAAACAGCTGAGGAACCAGAGCAGAAGAATTTCCCTGAAGATAGCTGTATGGTCCTTTCATGGACCAATCAAACAATGTTTAATATATGTATGTACATAGTCGTTACTTGTTTGTATCACTCTGTTGTTTATTTTTACACACTGCAGACAGACTATCTGTATTAGTGGTGTACTTTTTTCAGCTACTCTTTCTGCAGGTTACATTGTTATACCAGTAGGTGGTGATAAATCTTTATAACGAGAGAGCCAATTGAATCATTCACTGAAATGATTTGTTCAAAAATGCTAATTCATTCAAGAACTAAACTACTGTTTATAGGCGAGTCATTGAATTATTCATCCAACCAATTCATTCAAAAACACAGATTTATTCAGGAATGCAAGAAGTGACTGTCTTTATGAATAAGTCACTGAATCGTTTACTCAAACGATTTGCTCATTCAGGAACACTACAACTGTCAGCCTTGTGGGCAGCACTTCAACATGCAGCTTACATTCTTGGAAATAAAGCTCTCAAAAGGGTATTTTCACAGCAATGCCATAGCAGAACCATTTTTTGCTTCTCCAAAGAAATTTGAGTGTAAAGCTCTTAAAAACGTTTTTTTTTCTTAATGTGAAGAATATTTAAATACTCCGAACCTTTTTCCAATGTAAAGAACCTTTTGTGCAATGGAAAGGTCCCATGGATGTTAAAGGTTTTTCATGGATCCATAGATACAAATTAAGAACCTTTATTTTTAAGAATGTTGTTGCGCTTCAGACACCCTATGTTCGAATCTCGGCTTGTGGTCCTTTCCGATCCCATCTCCACTTTACTTCTTGTCAACTTTCTAACTATCCTATGTGAATAAGCGCCAAAATAATAGTAGTAATAATCAAAAACACCACTACTGTGTGTAGCACCGTTGTGGCTTTGTTTGGAACTATTTTCACTGGTGGAGCAAAAACAGACAAAATAAAGATAGATAGGAAAGAATAAAGTTTTTTCCTCTCCATTCCATAAATTTAGTTTTCAATTTTGCACTGTTCAGTTCTAAAGAATCTCGTGGAGTGGAAGAGGCTCATGGCTGTAAAGAGACACAATCAGGGGTCATGACACCAATCCTTAATTTGACAATTTGTTAGACACTTTCATGTATTACTTTCTAAGACCATAATACGCCTGTGTGCCTCTGGAGTGGGATAAAAACATGAAAGGCTCTACATTCCAACCTCACCTGCTTCCTTTTATTGTTCTCCTCTGATAGACTATATAAAGAAAAAAAATCCATCAAGTCATAAATTAGCCTAGAGTAACGTATGGCCTCAGTTCACTTTTCCATAGCAATGATGTTGCAGCCCATAAACTGTCCAATATACAACAGGACTCTGTATTGCATATCAGTAAGGGACACGTGTTGGCCTGTATTAGGCATTAACTTTATGGGACTGGATCCTCTGTAAGGTCTCTCGCCACGGTCAGACAGCTGGTTCTGCTTTATGCCCCTTTCTTCAACACTATATGGGTTGTTTTACATTTATTAAACACTTTTAAGCATCTCTGCCTGCAAGATTGCCCATCTGTTAGCACACGACAATATATGCGTTCCAAGTGTGGAGGGAGCACGTGAAGGTGAGGGGATGCCATTGTAGCATCAATAAGGCTCATAATGCACTTCAGGTTTACGGTCGGGTTGCGAGATTGATTTAAAAGTCTGGGCTTTTAGTCAAGAGGACATTCAGATTACAGATGCAAAATTTAATAATAAAAAAGTAGGAGAGAAGAGCACAAATCACTGCTGGCGCTGTGCTCTGTGGAATGTTAGGGTGTGCAATGCACATTGATATATAGATCTGCAGATGTGCATGTTGCCTGCGATGGCTGGAGCAGAAATTGTTGGGGGTGTGTGCGGCTGCCGAAAGGTCCATTGTGTGGAACAATACTTCAAGAGTGTTTATTTGAGTATCACTAAAGGCTATAACCTCTCACCCCTTCATAGCCGACTGTCACAGAAGTTTGGAAGTTGCACTTTGAGCACTGAGAAAACCTCTAAGGCGAAATCATAAACGGTGATGGGTTTAAAAAAAAATAAATACATTTAATGTTGTCAAAAGTAACATTAAGATGTTTTATGAGAACACATTTCTCTTATCTTATCTTGTGTCAGCACAAATTCTCTTCATGATGCAAATGTCCATGTGTGCATATTTTGTGTGCATTCATATGTCTGTCTGAATAATCACACGAGGATATTGAGGTTACCATATATTTTATAACTACAATCAAATGACAGTAAATGAAACAACAAAATAAAACATTAAGTCATATTTTTGGAATTTTCATGGCTGCACGGCGCAAAACTGCTACCGGTATGATACAGTCGAGCTGTGCTTACTTAATGATGCTGAGCATTGTGAACTGGCAAGCAAGTCATTTGCAAATGTAAACAGTTGGTATGTTGTAAGACAAACAGTATGAAATAAACAGGTTATAACATTTGCCAAAGTGCATTCTATCTGCATTCCACTGCATGAAGCTGCTTTTGAATGCTCTTCTGTATGCATGAGAGGATGTGCAGACCAGGGATATGACAAACAAATTAAACAAATGAGAGTGATTAAAACAGCTGGATCCACACATGGCATGACCAATTCAGGGAATTATGGAGGCAAATGCATGCAATTATAGCAAATGAGGTACACCCACTTTGCGCTACTCAGATGTTGCATTAATTTAAATGGTCTGTTTCTGCTGTGCAATTCATATTACATTAAATGAGCAATAGAATCCCCTGTGTCCTTCTGCTGTAATTCAGCTGAAGTCTTCATAAAGATCTTCTCTCCAAAGCAAATAATTTGCAGTCGGAGATCATGATGTCGAAATCCTCAAATGGCATTGCATTTCATAACATTGTTGGGAAATTTGGAAAGAACACTAATAAAGTTGTTTTTTAGGTGTTAGGATATTGTTATCATTTTATCAAAACTAACTTTGGCTTTCCGAGAAATTATTTTGTAATTGTTGGGAGTTAACCATCGTTTTATTTGATTTATGGACTTTTTTTTCTTTTTGAAAACTGGGGGAGAGAAGGGGGTAGTCCTCATTTCAGTTCTATATATATAGAACTGATTTCATAACTGAACTGATTTCAGTTCTACATACATAAATATATATGGATATATATATGTGGATTTAAAAAAAAAAAAAAGGAGCAACCTTCACTTGTTACCTCAGGGATATATTTATATTCATTCTAATCCATTAACTGCTAAACTACTGTAAACTAACTTGCCAAGTTGATTTAGTCAGATTAAACATATTTGGCTTGAATATAATCCAACTAATTTACTTGTATGGAATGCATTTTTAGGTTATATGAACTACGGTATCTTTTCAATTGTAAAGCATGTCTAAACTTCTCACGTTTTTACCCAGTCATTCCATTCTCAACGAGTCAGTGAATGGTTAGCCGCTGCCATGTGTTCAACAGCCAGGATGCTGAGAGATTGACAGAGCAATACTGAGCTCATGTCTTCAGGGGGCAAGTGAACAGGTGTTCCTCCTGCTGGAGTTTAAGAGAAGTCCCCTGTGCCCCAGCCTGAGAGAGCAGAGATAGTAAAGAGAAAGAGAGAGAGAAAAGACCCATGTGTGTGCCCTGTGGCCTCTCTTTCCCCCCTTGTGTGTATGTATATATTAGAGTGATGGGGAGGTATGCAGTGCCATAGTTCAGACACATGCTAATGCGCTCCCAGAAATAATTTGGGAATGGATGAAGGAGAAAGGCTTTGAAGGTGTTGTGCTAAAGTACACAGGGCTTTCTGAAAGATTAAAAAAAATAGAGCATTATGGGCAAATAACTATAAGTTTTATCGACAATCATATTAAAATAACAACCAGAAGTCATTTTAAGCGATGCACTGATAGTAGAGCTGCATGACATGTAACATGCAACTGTTGTTTTTC